GACAATGTAAATGACATCATCCAAACTGGACGCTGGTCGGATCCAGACGCCCGCAGCAGGTTGTGGGTGGGCGGATGCTGATTTGCAGCCCCAGTGGTGCCAGTACATAGAGCTTAACCTGACACGTTGTTTACAAAGCCCTGAGTGTGCCGGTGTATAAACGCATATCAATTCGAATCGGTAGTCAAGTCACCTTGACGTTGTGTTGCTATGGCTATCATGTAACTTTAATTGAACGTCTTTGGGTAGACGGCTGACAATCTGTTTGTTATGTACTTGGTGTGTGGACTCGTCCTTGGCGGGTGTAATGACGGTACTACAGAGAGATGAATACATACAGCGTCACTAAACCTTTGGGTGGTTATGTTTAACAATTCCACATCAATCAGTGTCCTGCAGTAAACAAAACAACACTAAAACCTTCGCATGTGTCATGTGAATGAACACAGACAGATGGGAAATAAAGGCAGACAAGGCGGTATATAACGTCAGAGATGCGGTGAACGTGCAAACCATGTAACTCTGGTAAAGTGGACTGGTTCTTGTTTATGAACACATACATACACACACACACACAGACACACACAGACACAGACACACACACACACACACACAGAGAAACACAGACAGACACACACACACACGCACGCACGCGCACACAGACACACACAGACAGACATACACACACAGAGACACACACACACACGCACAGACACACACACACATAGACAGACACACACACACACACACATACACGAAATGCAATGCTCTATGTAGGGTGCTATACACTCACGTAGTAAACTGCTCTATGCACGAGGTGTATGCCTCATAGATTACACTGCTGTCAACGCGGTGATACACGCCCACGAAGTGCACTGCACTATGAGTTGAGATATATACGCTCACGTAGTATACTGCTCTATGCACGGAGATATACGATATACGAAGTATACGATGCCCATGAAGTGTACTATGTGAGAAGACATACACAGGAAGTGTACTGTTTTAAGGACGGAGATATACGCACACCAAGTACACTGATGTATGCACGGAGATATACACGTCCAATGCGTGCACACTCACGTGGGGAATGAAATGCTTAGTTTCACACCACAAATATCCGCAACGTGTGAAGTATCATATGATTATAGCAACGCGGGGTCTCAGTGTTTTACCTGCAATACAGCAGCAATCGGGACACCAGAATCAGCCTAAACATTGTACCCATGTAGGGAATCGAATCAGATCGAAACCTATTATTGTGGGTTCGAATCCCGGTTCGCCCCGATTATGTTTCTAGGTTTGTCAGCACCATACCCGTGCTCGTTGGTTTCACCAAAGTGGTAAACGTTCTGAGACCTGCATCACTTCGGGCTTTCCTCCCACATTAAGCTGACACGCCGTGATATAACTGGAATGATGTTAAAAGCGGCGTTTAACCCAACTCACCCACCCACCCTCGTTTGCAATATGTAAGATACACACACGCAATGTCTCTGAAATGAACATATTTACAGAAAATAACAGTTGTTAAGTTATCTTAGTAAGATATAATAAGTAAATGGTCGTTGTGTTTATTGAAATTTCTGCATTCTTATTAGCTGAATTGGTAACGTGTTATTGCATTCATTTCCCAATGAATGTAAAAAATTAAGCCACGCCCAAGCGGATTTATATAGTTTGCACATCGGCTCATACCTGAACCGAAATAAGTACACAGTCAATCCTTAGATAAATAGGAGTCAAGAGACTTGACTTTCAGAAACTGCAGTAATCTAGACTAGCTTAGGCTGTATTGGGTATATTTGTTTTAGGGTCTGTAAGACAGACTAAGAATATTAATATGTGCATATTTTCAGATACAGAACCTGAAAAATTAAATACTAATATTAACGAGTATGGAAATAACCTCAGCTATTGGTTTTGAATATCGGTCAGTTCTGATCAATTCATCGTTCATGTCCTGTATATTAAGTGATGCCCTTCACGCGCGAGCTAGTTAAACAAGACGAAGACGTGCAGGCATACCGAGAACATTACTTGCATGAAATCGAAACGCTATTTCTCGTTAGATGAAGCCAGGTAGGGAGTAATGAACTGTAAGAATATATCTCAATTTAGGTTAAATAGGGAAACCTTTGTAAAAATCGAGACAGTGTTGTTGATATGGAAACCTTTTTCTCACGTGCGAATTCAAACACGTGCCGATCATTAATCTTAAATAAACTGAAGAATGGCTCGCAAGTGCAATGGAAACATCTGTAGAAGCCCTAATAATATAAGCTGGACATCATGTCCAAATATCCTAGTGGTATATAACGTCCAAATATCCTAGTGGTATATAACGTCCAAATATCCTAGTGGTGAATCACGTCCAAATATCCTAGTGGTATATCACGTCCAAATATCCTAGTGGTGAATCACGTCCAAATATCCTAGTGGTATATCACGTCCAAATATCCTAGTGGTACATCACGTCCAAATATCCTAGTGGTGAATCACGTCTAAATATCCTAGTGGTATATCACGTCCAAATATCCTAGTGGTGAATCACGTCCAAATATCCTTGTGGAACATCACGTCCAAATATCCCAGTGGTGAATCACGTCCAAATTTCCTTGTGGTATATCACGTCCAAATATCCTAGTGGTGAATCACGTCCAAATATCCTAATAGTACATCACGTCCAAATATCCTCATGGTACATCACGTCCAAATATCCCAGTGGTGAATCACGTCCAAATATCCTAGTGGTATATCACGTCCAAATATCCTAGTGGTATATCACGTCCAAATATCCTAGTGGTGCATCATGTCCAAATATCCTAGTGGTATATCACGTCCAAATATCCTAGTGGTGCATCACGTCCAAATATCCTAGTGGTGAATCACGTCCAAATATCCTAGTGGTATATCATGTCCAAATATCCTAGTGGTATATCACGTCCAAATATCCTAATGGTACATCACGTCCAAAAATCCTAGTGGTGAATCACGGCCAAATATCCCAGTGGTGAATCACATCCAAATATCACGGCCATGTACACCAAAAATGGATTTCTCACATTGTACACATATGGAGAATGGAACCAAGGTCCACAGCGTAGATTCATTTGCAGATTCGAATTAGGGTTTACCCAGCCAGCCCTGTTCTTTAAATATATCATGGTTAAGTAGTTCAGCTGTTAGATGTGCCTTTATCTATTGTATTTTCTATACTGGTTTAACAGTATTCGATTAATAAGGGTTTATTTATTACTTTACGAATTTGTTTTCGTGATCATGGAGACGTTGGTTAAAATAAAACTGTAGAATTGCAAAAACTGAAAATAGACGAAAATAGACCATTCCATGTAATGTGAATCAACATGATGTTAGCCTGAGAAAGCTGGTATTTAATCCAAAAATACCTTCAAACACTTTCCAAACCATTCGGCACCACTCGCCCCTCTCCGTAATCTGAAAGAAGACTCGCCCCCCTATGGATGAATGTTATATGTGAAAATACGACAAACCAATCCGAATGCGCGTATGACTTCAAGTTCTTCGTCAAAGAATCCCTCTGGAATATTTTTTTATTTTTCATCTCTTGCATCTAAAAATATATCCAAGACACAGTTAAATGTGTTCAGTCATACTGTATAATTCCGCATGTCCCGATGTGCTTTAAATTGCATCTGAAATATATATAATGCATGGGGAAAGATATGTGAACCATTACGCAACGAGTTAAAAGTGTGCCCGTTTGCGCTAAGACTGCAAAATGGCCATGAGAGGGGCATGAGTCGCTATTCTGCTTTTCCCGGAATAACACGATTTGGTCACGACTGTTTCCAAACGAGGCTGCGGCAGTGGCGTTAATGAGATGAGGTTTGAACCATTCCTTCTCCTCCACGGGGTTTCTTTAATCTGCGGCCAAGCACAGAGACAATTAAAATATTTCACTGGAGTATTATAGGGCTGTACCCTAGCCCCATGAGGTAACCTGGTAACCATCCAAGATGGCGGCACTTCCGGTTATGGGAGGCGTGTGCATCCAAAATGGCGACACTTCCGGTTCCGAGATGGCGGGGAGGGTGGATTTCTTTTGATTTTTGTTTGCAATGATCAAAGTGTTCTTTCGTGACAGTTGAGTGTCCCTGAAAAGTGCCGTTGGATCGTGAGAGACTACCTCCTCACCCACATATTTGCTGTGCTACACAGGCACGGGTGGGTCGCCATCTTTCTTCTCACAGGACACTTACTGGCGTGGGTTGACGCCTCACGTAACTGTCCTTCAGTTTGGAATGGCAATACACGCACTGAAAAGACCCATCACATGCCAGAGTGCCATGGGCGTACACTGGAAGACAGCCTTTGCACATGGTGCATTGCCAAGCAGGCGATGGCAATGTTCTTGATGAACCTCAGCCGAAACGAGCTCCAGATCCCAGTTCTCTATGCAGTCATTCAGTGCTAGGACTGTGATGGTGTTAGAGGCTTCGCTCTTTTTATAGGAGGGGAGTGAATCGAAATGTCCCATGTTTTGATTGGTCCAAACTCTGCGCGCTGATTGGTCCAATCTCTGCGCGCTGATTGGTCCAAACTTTGCTCGCTGATTGGTCCGTTTCGGTGCCTGGTTTGAGACCAGGTTTTCCAAACCGACTCGAGCCTTGTGTTTCTTTTCCATAGTGGTTGATATGACATTTGAATCTGAAATAACTAATAATTAATTTCATTTATGCTAAGAAAGACATATTTTTAGTTTGCCGGTTTGATCAAGCCGTTTCGGTATATGTACTGTGCTCCAAAATAATGATGACTCCCTGTTGTGTATTGCGAGCTCCAGCAATGAGCGTGAGTGACCCGCGATGGTCAAATGTGTGAGAATTTCTGTGTGTTGCAGAGAGTTAGCGGCTGAGCACTAATCTTCAGGTATGAAATACTGTTTTTTGTTTAATATGTTATCATTTGTACCAAAACTTTCTGAAGATTATTGGAAGAGTTGGTACAGAGAAGAAATGAGTGATTCAGATGAATTAGCGTTGGAACTTGATGGAGTTGGACAGTTGTGGAATGGAAGTTCACAAGAGGCTGAAGGTGCAGGTGTTACCAATGTAAAAGAGAGAATGCAGATTGTGAAAGCAAAGAGAAAGGTGATTAAAGGGAAAATTACCAGAACTATAAATAGACTTAAAGACAACATGCAAACTAAAATGGTGAAAAAAAGAAGAATTTTAAAGGAGTTAGAAGAACTCAGAGCTGATTATACAAAGGCATGTGAATTACATGGAGAACTGTATGAGTATACAGAAGAGGCAAAAGTTGCAGGTTTAGATAAATGGGAGTCGGATCTAACCAATGATATCTATGGAATAGAAGAATTAGCAGAGGATTATCTAGCATCACTTGACATCACAGAACATGAAACAGAGACTGTGTCAAAGGGAAAGGGTAAATTTGTCAAGGTTCAAAGTGGTCCTTCAACATCATTTCAAGCTGCTGAAGATGATGACAGTGCATCTTATAAAGATAATGCATCTCAGGATGACAATACATCTCTTGCTGGATCAAGTGAAGGATTTGACTGGTGGATAACTTCACTGAAGGAGTATCAGGAGACTAAACACTGTCTAAGCAACACCCCGAACATGAGTTTAGCGGAGGCATTGATCAAGATTGAAGCCAGTAGGGACATACCTAATATCACTCTTCCTAAATATTCAGGGGATCCTTTGGAATATGTGAATTTCATGGAAAGATTCAAAATTCATATCCATGATAAAGCACATTTAACAGATGCCATGAGACTGGTACAATTAAAGATGCATCTGACTGGTGAGGCTGAGAGGGCCATTGCAGGACTTGGATCTAGTGGTACCATGTACGCTACTGCTTTAAAAATGTTAAAGGAACAGTTCGGCCAGGAAAGTTATATTGCAAGAGCATATGTGAACAAGCTGACTAAGGGGAACAGAATACAGGGACGAGAGGCGCTGCGAGATTTCTCCTTAGATCTGATTAATTGCATAGCAACTTTAACACGGATGGGTTCCTTTGCAGATATAAACGCAAATGATAATTTGCGGCAGATAGTAATGCGTATGCCAGGGTACCTTATTGATAGATGGAAAGTGAAGGCATCTGATATCAGAGAAAGAGGTGAACGGCCGTCAATTCGCCATATCAGTGATTTTATCAGAAAACAGGTAAAAGCAGAGTTCGACCCAGACTTTGGGGATTTGGAAAGAAGAAGTGATTCCAGAAGGATAAAGGGGTTATATTCTCATCAGCAGATGAAGAGGGGGCCCATATGTTATCTTTGTTCTGAAGAACATAGAATCTCAGATTGCCCAACATTCACAGATTGTACTGTTCCAGAGAGGACTCAGAAGGTTCGAGACCTACGTCTGTGTTTTGGCTGTCTTGTCAGAGGCCATATTACGAGAGACTGTAAGACCAAGAAGGCCTGTGGTATCAACGGATGTTCACGTACACACAACAAGATGTTGCATTTTGACCCACAGGTGGCCAGTTCTATCATTGATACAAATAGTATTCTACCAGTGGTCAGGGTGATGTTTAAATCCTTAAATGGTAGGACCAGGGAAGGTAATGTCCTCATAGATGGAGGTGCAGGAACCACAATCATTCGCAAAGAATTTGCAAAATCACTTGGTCTCCAGGGTAACAAGGAGAGACTTGATCTATCACTTGTAGGATGTGAGAAACTTGAGAACATTAACAGTTGCAGATTGAAATTTTGGATTTCTTCACTTGAAAGTAGTGAGGCATTTGAAGTAGAAGCTTATGAGATTGATAAGACTGTTTTGAATGTTAAGCCTTTGGATAGAAACTGGTTGAGATCATTCTCACATCTTAACAACATCGAATTGTCGCACAAGGCGGGACCTATTGATCTCATCTTGGGAGTTCAGTATTCTCACTTGCATGCTGAAGAAGAGGTTCGTCAAGGTCTTCCATTTGATCCGATCGGAAAGAAGAGCAAGCTCGGATGGTATGTGATGGGTCCAGACAAAACTCAACGTTCAGTGATATGCTCAGTGAACTTTGTGGAGAAACTTAATCTTGACAAATTCTACCAGTTTGAAACATTGGGGGTACAAGCTCCAAATTGTAAATGTTCTGTTGAAGTACTCTCAAGTGAGGATCGAGTAGCACTCAAACTGATGAAAGAATCGTGTCGCAAGGTTCAGGACAGATACGAGATTGGTCTTCCTTGGAAGAAGAACCCTGCCTTACTTCCAAACAACTATAATGTAGCCTATAGAAGACTTGTGTCTCTTGAGAAGAATCTCCTGAAGAATGACCAAAAGGCTAAAATGTATTGTGATGCTGTGAATGAGTATGAGCAGAAAGAATGGGCAGAAAAGATTGATGAACCCAATGTGAAAACTAGTGGTTTCCCAGTTTATTATCTTCCACACCATGGAGTTTATAGACCGGACAAGCCCAGTACCCCATTGAGAGTTGTGTTTGATCCGGCATGTGTGTGTGATGGTGTATCCCTCAACTCATATCTGTATAAGGGTCCAGGTCTCATTGGGAACTTGCTGAGTGTTCTTCTGAGGTTTCAAGAGGACAGAGTTGCTATAGTTGGAGACATCTCCAAGATGTATCTCCAGATCAGGTTGAGAGAGAGTGACACTCATTTACACAGATTCCTATGGAGAGACTTAGAGGTGGATAGAGAGCCGTCAGTGTACAGATTGCTCAGAGTGGCTTTCAGTGATAAGTCCTCTCCAGACATGGCAAGTTATGTAATGCTTCGAATTGCTGAAGAGAATGAGGACAGATATCCTGAGGCATCAGCAATTTTGAGAGACGACAGGTATATGGACGATCTGATTCATTCGTGTGAAACCCCAGGAAAGGCTACGAAGAAAATCAATGAGGTTAATGCTGTGTTAGCCACTGGACAGTTTCAGATCAAAAAGTGGTTTTGTTCTTCGCAGTTGGTTCGTGAACAGAGTAGAGAAAATCAACCACAAGCGTCTTCGTCTGTCAGTCTTGATGGTGAAGAAATCAAGACCTTGGGTATTCGATGGAATCCGGATACTGATAATCTGAGTTTTGCAGTCAAGAATCTGGTTGCAGAGAAATACACTAAGAGACAAGTTTTATCCAGAATGTCAATGTTGTACGACCCACTTGGACTAGCTTTAGCAATCACGATCAAAGCCAGAGTAGCTATGCAGGATATCTGGCGTCAGAAATCGTTGGATTGGGATGATGAGTTACCCAAAGAAATGTATGATTCCGTGAACACAACAACTCTACACGTCTTTGCAGACGCAAGCATGAAATCCTATGGAGCTGCAGCATATCTCACATGTACAACAGAAAATGAGACTTCAACACAGTTGATTATGGCAAAGGCTAGAGTTGCGCCATTGCATCAGACAACAATACCGAGATTGGAGCTTATGGCGGCATTGATTGCTTCAAGGTTGGCCACAACAATCAAAAGAGAAATCAGACAGAAGCTGTCAGATGTGATATTGTGGACAGACTCACAAATTGTGCTTCATTGGATCAGAGCAGAATCAATAACATTCAAAGCCTTTGTTGGTGTCCGCATAGCCGAGATACAATCTCAGTGGAATCAGACACACTGGAGATATGTGCCAACATATTGGAATCCTGCAGATCATCTTAGCAGAGGAATTTCTGTGGAGGAATTGAATGGTAGCTGGATGTATGGGCCAGAATTCTTGAAGTTACCAGCTAATGAGTGGCCAACCCAGCCATGTGATGCAGCAACTACTGAATCCAGTGAGGAGAAAAGGAAGTGTCCAGCTATTGCTGCTTGTGCACCAATCAACCCTGTCATAGAAGCAGATAAGTTTTCATCATGGCAACGACTTCTGCGAGTTACAGCATACTGCCTAAGGTTTGTCAGGAAACTCAAGGACAAGATACACAAGGTTTCACAACTAGGGGATAATGCTATAACAGTGAGTTGTGAAGAGATGAAAGCAGCTGAATTGTATTGGATCAAGTGTGTCCAACGTGGAATGAATGATTGGAAGAGTGACTTCTGTGATCTAGCTCCCTTTGAGGAAAAGGGTATTGTTCGAGTAGGAGGTAGACTCAGACATTCTCCACTGCAGTATGACCAGATTCATCCAGTACTATTGTCTCCAGGTCACCACGTATGCAGATTGATAATGTGTGATGTTCATGTGCAAATGGGTCATGCTGGTCCAGAGAGAACATTGTGCGAGAGTAGGAGATACTTTTGGATTGTGCGTGGGCGGAACCTAGCCAAGAGTATTGTGAGAAATTGTGTTGTGTGCAGGAAGTTACGTCAGCCTGGTCATACCACTCTGATGGCTGACTTGCCTCCAGAAAGATTGCTTCCATTCTCACCACCATTCCATGTAACAGGAGTTGATCTCTTCGGACCAATGTCAATCAAGTATGGTAGGAACAAAACCCAAAAGGTATGGGGAGCAATCTTCACGTGCGTGAATGTGAGAGCGGTTCACTTAGAGATAGTGGATGGATTGTCTACTCAGGCATTTCTACAAGCATTGCGTCGTTTTGTATCAAATCATGGATGGCCACACACAGTTATTTCTGATAATGGCACATCGTTTGTTGGAACCGAGAGAGAACTTCGTACCATATTCATAGAAGGCAAACAACAAATGATGGACTTTGCATTGCTGCACAGAATCAATTGGAAGTTCATCACGCCTTTGAGCCCACACCAAGGTGGAATCTATGAAAGTTTGATTAAACAAGTGAAAAGATCTCTTAAGGTCATCATCGGTCAACAGATTCTCAGCTGGAATGAGTTATCAACTGCATTTGCAGAAGTGAAAGGTTTGTTGAACGCAAGACCATTGTATTATACAGCACAGGATCCTAATGATCCACAAGCCCTAACACTCAACCACTTCCTGTTAGGGAGAGCTTCCATAAATGTTCCACAAGGACCGTTCCAGGAGACAAAGAACCTGCATAAAAGGTTTGAATATGTGCAGATGCTGGTGAAACAGATTTGGAAGAGGTTTCTACGAGAGTATCTACCAACTCTCATGCGTAGGAGCAAGTGGCGTACACAGGGGAGACAACTCCAGATAGGAGATATTGTTCTGCTCATGGACAACAATGCACCAAGAGGAAAATGGGACTTGGCAAGAATCGTTGATTTATTTCCAGGAAAGGATGGTATAATCAGAAATGTCAGAGTTCGCACCAAGAACGGTGAATACAACAGATCAGTACAGAAATGCTGTCTGATCCTGGAATATTTCACATAGACTGTTTTCAGATGGCACTTGGTTGCCCCCGGAGGATTTGGTTGATATGACATTTGAATCTGAAATAACTAATAATTAATTTCATTTATGCTAAGAAAGACATATTTTTAGTTTGCCGGTTTGATCAAGCCGTTTTGGTATATGTACTGTGCTCCAAAATAATGATGACTCCCTGTTGTGTATTGCGAGCTCCAGCGATGAGCGTGAGTGACCCGCGATGGTCAAATGTGTGAGAATTTCTGTGTGTTGCAGAGAGTTAGCGGCTGAGCACTAATCTTCAGGTATGAAATACTGTTTTTTGTTTAATATATTATCATTTGTACCACATAGTAAAATGCATTTTCAATGGGAGAGAAAGCACAACTCGGGTGCTGTCTTCTGATTGGTGCATTTCCGATCCTGTTTTTCAGGCGTGCTTTTGAATGATGCAACTGACATTATTTTCATTATCTATAAAAGAGGTGTTTGTGAAATGGATGGGCTATCCTAAACAGTTCAACAGTTGGATCCCAGAGGCAGATTTGCAAATTACATAAGGCACTTTCTCTTGTCTCAAAGTCAGTTGTACCGTGGACTCCGTGACTACATACATACATGGTTACCTCCCCATTTTGTATTAGCAACAACTTTCAACAAATCTAGAGCCTTCAGGCATTTAGTTTTAAGACAATTAATATGTGGCTTAAAAGTCAAATGATGATCGAAAATGAGACCCAGAAACTTGGCCTCTTCTACAACCTTGATAGGAGTACCATGTAAAAATAGCTCAGGGTCTTTATGATGCTTGTATTTCTTACAAAAATGAATACAATTTGTCTTAGCTTTCGAAAACTTTCGAAAACCATTTTCGAAACACCATTTTTGGATTTTGTTGAGAAATAGCTGCAACTGTCTCTCGACGGTATGCCTATTTTGCCACGACATGAATATTAAAATCGTCCACAAAAAGGGAACTATCAATGGATTCATTTAAAAAATTTGACAGACTATCAATCTTTCTACTAAACAGAGTTGCAGACAAAATACTGCCTTGTGGGACACCCTGATCCTGAATATGATGGCCAGACAAGGTGGAACCCACACGAACCTGAAATTGTCAGTCTGTTAAACATTGGGATATAAATTGAGGCAAACAGCCTCTGAACCCCAAATCATGTAGATCTTTTAAAATACCATACTTCCATGTGGTATCATACGCTTTTTCTGAATCAAATAAGACTGATACTGCATGCTGATTATTGACAACTGATTTTTTTACAAAAGATTCTAAACGTACCCGATGGTCAATGGTACTTCTATTTTGAAATCACATCGAATGTTACTTATGAGATTGTTAGTTTGGAAGTACCACACCAGTTGATTATTTACCATTCGTTCCATGGTTTTGCACACACAGCTGGTTAGTGATATTGGTCAATGATTAGATGCATCAGTATGGTCCCTACCAGGTTTAGGTATGGGAACAACTATTGCATCACACCACGAAGGAGGAAAATCCCCTGAGTGTCTCTAAACATGAATCAGGCAAATGCTTCAGGAACTGATAGTGAATAAAATCAGCTCCCGTTGCAGTATCGTGCGCTTGGCCTACAGCAGTATTTAGCTTGTGGAGTGAAAATACCTCATTATTAATCTTCTCCATTTTGAGAAGTAAAATCAACCCTCTTCTTTTTGTTGTTTCTGACATGTTTGAAACTTTGGATAATAATTTGACGATGAAGTGTGTTTGGCCAGCGTCTCTCACAATTTATTAGCAATGTCCACTTTATCTGTTAATAGATGGTCACCTTCCTTGAGATGGTGGATAGTCGATTTTGAGCCTTTGCATTTAATGTTTGCAATCATGTTCCACACCTTCGATTATGGTGTGCGAGAATTAATTTTAGAGACATAATTCCTCCAAGACTTAGGATTATTCTGTTTGAATGCACAGCGTGCCTTGGCATTTGTGAATTTAACACGATCCAAATTATGTACAGTTGGATGTTGGTGGAAATATTTCTCCGCTTCTTCCCTGCACTTCCTAGCCTGTTTGCGATCTTTATCAAACCATGGTTTTTGAATGTGTGGATTTTCAGAGGACTTAGGAATGGTTATATCAGCAATTTCATTCAACTTATCCGAAAAAAAGATTGAATAGTGTCGGGAAGAGTCCTGAACATATTAGGTGTTAATCTTTCCATACAGAGTTCCTGAAAAGAAGGCCAGTTGGCCTTGGTAAAATTCGACCTTGATGTAGGTTGAACATCAGATGGATTAATTTCTGTTAATATTGAGGGAAAATGGTCGCTTCCACACAAGTCATCATGGACTGACTATATATATTCATTAATAGATTTTAATCTGTTAGTGACAGATCTAAAACGGAATAGATTCCAGTAGCAGGATGTAAATATGTAAATGCATAAATTGTGATCAGAATTAAAATCTTCAAGTACTTTTCCCTTAGGATTAACATTAACACTTCCAAATAATGGGTTATGTCCGTTTAAATCACCCAATTTAATCATGCAAGGCTTAGGCAGTTGTTCATATAAGGATTGAAGATACGATCTCTGAAGCACAGAGAAAGGAGAAATATACAGAGAACACAGAGTAAATGTTATGTGCAACGTCAGTCGCACTGAAAGAATCATGAAGTGGAACAGGGCTGTGGATCATTCCCTGCTTCACCAGAACAGAAGATCATCCAGTAGCTTTAACACCTGGAGGAGAAAATGAATGGTAGGAACTGTACCGACGCAAATCAAAGTTGTCATTCTGTTTGAGATATGTCTCCTGGAAACAGATTGCTGATGGCGTAAAATCTTGGATTAATAAATGTAATTCATTAAAATTGGTTCTGAGGCCTCTGCAATTCCACTGAATCATGGATTCATGATGTTCAAGTTACAGGTGGATGAACCGGAGATCAACGTCTCACATTTTTAGATGACCTACTTCTGCTGCGCCCCTTAGGATGAGGAGAGACATCTATGTCCTCCAAGGTTTGAAACCTATTATAAATTTGAATACGGTCACGGTGACCCTTCGACACACGATCAGAATTACTGGAGTAGTCAACTTTTTTGCTGGCATTTGTCACAATAGGTGATGGATTTGGTGCCGATGCCAGTGATGGTGCCGGCGCTGCTGCCATAGGTGCTGACAAAGCCGTATATGGTGATTTATCTTCTGCTTGAGAAGAAGAACTTGACTGTACCAAAGTATAGTTGTCGGAGTTAACCCAAGTAACATCCGTCTGGCATTCAACAGAGGTAAATGATTTAGAACTTTTTGGAGGTGTATGGATGACAACTGTAGAATATGACACAGCTGCAGTAGGGGTAGTAGACGACATTACTCAACGTTTGGCATCAGAAAAAGAAATATTCTTGGCATGGCTCATTTTTACTATCTGGTGTTGAAGTTGCCAGACAGGACAAGATTTGGATGATGCAATATAATCCCCAGATTATTTGAGCAGTCTATTTTTTCATGAGCAGGTTCTCCACATCGATGACACATCTTTTTGTTACAGGACGATTGGGCACCATGCCCAAACTGTTGACATGAGTAACAACAGAGTGGATTCGGTATGTACTTATCCACACCAATATTACAGTAACCTGCTTTGATAGAATATGGTGGAACAGGAAGAGAAAAGGTAAAGAGGTATGTGTTCAACTTTCCAGTTTGACCATTCTGCCGCTTTGTAAAACGTTTTACACCTGTAACACCCTGGTCTTTCAGTTCAGAAGTTATGTCATCTTCAGACATGTCTGAACGACAACGTTCTCGATCTCTGACAATGCCTTTAGAACTGTTGAGTGATTTGTGCGGGGAAACAATGACTGGCACAGAAACGAGATGTTTGACAGCCAACAGCGTAGCTGATTGTGATGCAGATTTGCATTCAAGATACAGCCAGAACGTATCCTTTTCATTGTCACTACCATAAATAGCTTTAGAAAGCGCAAATGGATTCAATTTCAAAGTTCCATCATCAGACGAAGAGATGACCAAAAATCGAGACCAAAAGTCAGACGTGTTTCTTGTAACAGAGTCATCATCAGATGAACTCATCTAAAGTTCGTTTGAGTTGTTTGGGTGGAATCATGGTAAGTTTATAGTGGTTCGCCATCCCAGGTCCCCACCCACCACGGAGTATCATAAAGACAATGCTATGTGGTAGTGGGTCTCCAACTAACAGCCCCAAGGATACTGGGATGGTATACTCAAGCAGAAATATCAATGCAAGACCATTGAAGTTTGAATATAACAACTTTCTGCAAAATGAAATAGGGTGCATAGAGCTTGGCATGACCAGCCGATTGATAGAATCGGGTCTATTCTACCACCCGTCTAGGTGAAGTCAGGGTCAAAGTGGTGTATTGGGCAAAGGAACACAGTTCCAGGAACCAGTGCCCTCAACCACCAGACTACCTTCCTCAACCGACACAGGGGCGCAACCCACGGCAAACAGGTTGCCCATTTTAGTCGCCTCATACGACAAGCAATGGGGTGCTGAGGACACATTCTACCCCGGGTCCACACGGGGTAAAAGCGATTAGCGCTACCCAACACTCACCACGTGGAGGTTGCTCTTCATAAGTGCCTACAGGTAAAAGATGGCAATATTATTGTTTTACGGTACAGTTAAAGATATTATCAAGATTAAGTAAAAGATAAAATTACGAAAATATGAATTACTTCGATTAAAGTAGTGTTCAATGTATATACAGTTTACGTGCTCAAAACTCTGAACAAATTTGTTTCACTATGACCACTAGAAAACATACATTCTTCTCTCAGCTATTATTTCGCACTTGGCTGCCATACTCTTAGACCATTGCTCAAAATAAACTTGTATGGCCAGTCCATGAAATACAACTTCTTTCAAATTGTTTCATAAATACGACTTTAGAAGTGTATTTACACCTAGGTATGTATACATGTATATTTAACCACATACGTGATAGTTTATTTCCAGTAGATTCCCATTCCATCCCATTTTACTAATGGAAATGTTTGAAATAGATAATGATCGTAGGTCGGTGAAAGTAATGGAATTATTTGTCATAAAAGGAAAAACATATTCTTGGTATTGAACTTCGAAAATGTATCCACCATTATGTTAAATATAAATGGTTATCAGTTATTATGTCTTTCATTTTCTTTCCCTTGCTAAACTACAGCTTGGAGGGAAGATGTACACATTAAAATCGTTAAAAAAGAACCACAAGGATGCTTTATTTTTTTTACAAAATCGATTTAGTACTAAGGATACAAAACAAAGTAATTACTACTATGTCACTGATCGAAGTATTTGATAATATAGATAATGCAAAGTGAAAAAAACAACCTTTAATAAAACTATATAAAACATCAAAACGAAATCACATTAACACTGAAAACAGTTTGTCTTTCAGAAATCGATTATCTTTATATTGTGAGTAGATCTAATTACTTTTACTGTTGATGTTATAAATGAAACATTCGAGAATCTAATAGATATGAAGCTGTTATATTAAAAATCTAGGTTGTTTAATATTGGATCCATTTTGACAGCTTTCTCACTGTAAAACATTCCATTCCCTTACTCAAATAAGTGCACTTTATTTTCTTGAAATATCAAGAATTCGAACAGCACATGTCAACATACCAAAATTTGAAAACTGCGCCAAATATTCTAAGTGTTAGTCAGCGGTCTCATTTACTCGTCGGTCGCCGTGGAAATGTTCCAAGCGTGATGTACCAGATATCTACTTTCTGGTTTAGTCAAAGAGAATATTGTTATTTGGAAAATGAAACCACGTGTATCCATTATACTACCACAACATTTCATCAGCTGTTTCATGTGACGTCATCCACGTTACAACACGCGAGGTCAAATCACGTGCACCTGTCCAGGCGACAAATTCACAGCGGCGGGAAATCACCGACCGTTTATTAGCCTATTCGAATAAAATTGCAGATTGTAACGAAAATAAAAGTTGACTAATTGCTGACATTTCAGATAACATATCAAATAAGGGTTGAAGACTTGCAATAGATTATCATACGTTAATGGAGAGTACAGTGTACATCAATAATTTGTAAATCTCATATTAATCAGATCTAATATCCATGGCAGAATGTTGGAAATACGAGCTGTCGCGTTATGATAATATATATTCAATTTTCTGAGGGGATTAGTAATGTGTATTTAATGATATAAATGCATACACAATTGGTTATCATGCAGAGAAAGGTCGAGAAGCGCGGTAGCCACTTTATAACTAATCTCGCCATATTTCGCAATCCGTAGCATTGTATAAAGTATGAGTTGCACGATGTTAAAGCTAAGATGATTGGGGTGATGATGGTTATGTTTTTAACTTTGCACACTCAGTGTTTGATATCAAAATTCACAGTTCAAAAAGGGCATTTTCTCGGGACCATATATGGTCCCTTGGCACTATGCGGGTGTGAAACGTGAGGGACCATATATATTGTCCCGTCTTGTCATCATTGTGCCTTACCCTATCGGATCATTCGTGCAGGACTTCACCACAGGAATGATCTCCTGCCCAAAGCTACCACAAAAGACTACCGCAAAGTCTACACCAAGCACCGCATCCTCTACAGTACAAGCACAGGTCTGCCTGTAGACACGGTCCCCTTTGGGTACGGAGACTAGAATTTTTTTTTATTGTGTACTTAACCCTCTGGATGCCGAGGTTTTTTTATGACGCACATTTTCCTAAGATCGGAAAAGTGACTGGATCTACCTCTGGCTATAAAATTACGCAGAGATGGAGAATATTAATTTTAAATTTCCTATTTGATGGTGTAAATTTAACTGCAAATATTAAACAGGTTTAAAAACAGACACTTCTAAGTGTTGTCCGAGAATTTATTCTGCGTTGAAAAACAGTAAATTTCTCCGTTTTTCATCGTACACCGAACAATCTCATTAAAATCAGATCTAAAAGTTTAGCGGTAGCGAGAACTAAGGTCTGATTTTAATGAGATTGTATACCGATAAAAGTACTGTGCGACGATTTATTTTTATACAGAAGCTTTACGGAAACTGTCAGCGAACAAAATACTGCTTAATATCTGAACGACATAACTATATATCAAATGGAGTTATATGCGTATGTATAACGACATACATTCAATGCCAAAAATAGCATACCGTAAATTAGGACGAAAACGGATTTTTCTCTATGACGTCAAAAGGCGACATACAGAGAGGTTACACATGTACAAAGAAAAGGGGGCATAACTCCGCTATGCTTAGCACTAGTTTATTGTAACTCAGGTCACTTGGTGAGAATTAGCTGTGGGTAAGGATACTATGTTTTCGTGGTGTTTTGTTCACGAAGAACCAAACTATTCTAACACAAATATCGATAAAGAAACTGTATACGTTTAGTTATAAGAAATGTCGAAATCGTACTTTATTAAAAAGAGGTAATAGAGAAATGGATGGCCCTATCTAACCTATAACTTAGTCCTTAGATTCCAACATTCTCCTGAATGTGTAAGTATGATTAGACTAATGTTGCACCATTATTAATGGAGCACTAGCCTGATCATCAAATGTAATGAGATACAAAAAAGATAACACCATTCTATTTGACGTCATGGCTGGTTTTATGGCTTTGATAACGTCGGAGAAAGACGACAATGGTATTTTGATTAATATATATCTCCCCTAATTTTCGTTCATGGTATGGAAAATATCGATGTGTAAAACGGAATTTGACGCTTTTTCGACACAACATAAAATGACTGCTTTCACCAAGTAAATAATGTCTTGAATATATAAACAAGTAGATAATTTATCGTGTATCTTAATTGGACAAGACACGCACCTGTTTGGCACCAATGTACGTACGTAATGAAATACCCAAAAGAATATTTCAAAACAACCAAAATTATATTCAATATTGGAAACATATTTGTTCATTACTATGTTATTATTTCTCGTCATCTCGTCTCAGAATTACACAATAAAAGATACGAAGAAAGCTCTATTGGTATAGAATTATCAGGATATAATCGTTTACTGTTGAACCAACGGTCGGGCATGGATTTTATTTTTATACATTTTACAATTCCTGGAGAAATAAAGTAAACAGTTTAATATCCTGTGATCATAATATTGAAAAAAGAATGAACCCATTGATTATATAATGCAAAACGAGGGGAATAATTCGTAAATTGTTTGTGACTAACGCGCACCTGGCGAATCGTTAGATATCACTGTTCTGTGTATCAAACGACATAAAAAACAATTCCAAGACCAAGACAATTCTTTCAGAAATGTGTGCATATATTTTAACGAAAAATATTATCCATTTATTTTCAGTTTTAGTTATAAAATAAAATGAAACAGCTATTCAAGGACATTGGTTACATGAACTTATAATATTGACTATTACACATCCCAAGAAATACGTACATGCTGCAGTTACACTTCATCTTGTAACACTTGTCCAATATCGTATTCGACACTAAAAACCTATCAATTGTTATGTAAACAATGTTCAAACAAACAGGAGATTATCAAAGGTTCGTTCATACATGTTGTGGCCTATACTTACGTATGATATCATTTTGAACATTGACAAATATCCAAAGTGAAATCAATTGTGTGAAGAAAATGTATAAAAGATATGCAAAATCTACTTCATAACTGAAACTATAAACAGCATGATACAATGATCGTGTGCATTCTCATTCAAGGACCTTCACCTCAAAGAAATTACCAAATATGTACACAATGTTGACGTATGACATCACTACCGGTGACCGACTTTTACAAAATGGCGTGTTCACTGTCAACAGTACGCGGGATTTTACGAGGGGACTTTCGTTGATTCAAGGCTCGTTTATACATAAATGTGACATGTAAGTAACCAGAAACATTCTGACAAGCTATGTACTGTTATTTGTTGTTATAATTTCATTGAAACAAACCGAAATAGTCAGAAATTCCAATAAATACCGTTGTCGTCGTGCGTGATTTTGCGTCAGTCATGGCGTCACACAGGACGGTAACTTTGACAATTTCTGTTGAAAATATCAAATCATTGCAATGTATCTATTTTAAATTCCTTTTTTTTCCTTTTATTCTCTTCTCATGCATATTCTGAAAATATTGAGCCAATATCTTGAAAGAATAGACAAATGGATAGCTCAAAATAGGAGAAAAAGCTACACTGTGTAAAATCTGTATTTTGCTTTGTTTACATTTCAAACAAGTGCAGTTTTTCGAGGACAGCGTTCGTTTTCACACCTAACATATTTTGCTTGATTTCATTCAGCCACTTTGTATTGGTGACAAAGACCATTGGTCATTTGATTCTAAAATGTATGAGGAATTCAAGGATGTGTGTATCGCAGCTAAGTTTGAAATATACGTGATGTTACAGGCGCATCATAACCGGTGTACCTGAAACGTGATTTTGTAAACACTATCCAATATGGCGGAAAGTTAACTTCAGCGTTCGTGTTTGCGTATTTTCCAAAACATTCTAAACGATTCTAGGGTTATCGGAGACGTTTTGGGATGATCATTGGTGATTTCATAAAAGACAGATACCCGTGATCACTAATATGCTATTTTTGAAATTCATTTCTCCGAGTAAATATCCGAAATTTAGATTTCAAAACATGCTGTAAATAACGCTGGGAGTGGTGATTTAGTAATGTGTGAAAAATGGCGACATTTACGATGTACCTAATTTTCAGAGGTCATTTTCAGTACTTTTGCTTGGCCTAAAATGCCAGTGGATGATATCACAGAACAGGGAATTTCCCACCTTTTTCAAAACTGTGAAATGTATTTGTGTGGGTGATGTATTTTAAAATTTATTCGACTTCAAAGTGAGGGTTGTAGATGAGGGACATCCAGGGGGTTTACGTTGTGTTGGCTGTTTGCGTTTTATCTTGAAGAAATTTGTGTTTGGAGAGAGTTACCTCAAGTGTTCACTCAAATCCGTGAAGACTTGGAAGAAACAACGGTCAGAAAAAGTGGATCGAAATTCAAACAATGAGAAGCTCGGGTTTTCGTCCAATCAGGAAGCAGGGTTGTGCCAAAACCAACCAATGAAAAGCCCCGGTTCTTAACCAATGAGAAACTTGGTTTTCGTCCAATCAGGAAACAGGGTTTCAGTTCCTTAAATACCACAGACGCTGTCTTGTCATCACTTTGCTGATGCTTTCAAAGAAGAATCATAATGTCAAAGCATATGGATATCAAGGCACCGAGGGAAGTGTGCCATGAAGTGTACGAAATCATTGATCATCAGTTAGAACTTATCGTAGCGCCAAGGTTATCGCAACTCACATACTTAACATAGACTAATGACTGTCGTTTGCGTTACAATACGATCGCCTTGTGGAACGGGGACCTTGCACCTCAAAGTTTACAATCACGTCACAATATCCGATTACGTAATTTTCTCGAATTTTTGTTGCATCGGCGAAACAATGCCACCTGTCGTCAGCCTGGCAACGATGTTGCTGGAGTCATCGTGTGTGCATAAGGTCCTCTCAGTGATCTACCATCTCCACAGTCCCATTAGTATAACGAATGTATGAATTATTATCATTGGTATACGTAATCATAATGGTTCTTTTCTTGTATGATTGGCAGGACACCCAACCTTCCTTCCCCCGATGTCAGGTCAACACAGTCAGTGTTGGAACAGTGGTGGGAACCCTGTTTTACTGAGGGGCCCCGGGAACCAGCATATTCACCTACACCCCCTGTGATTATGATCAGTGATGATGAAGCACGCAATTTGGCAGCACTACCTCCCATGGATGCGGACACACCCACCCTGCTTGATGTGCCACCATCACCGAATGATACCTTCCATGGCGACGACGACCGTGATGTGCCATGCGACGACGATCTTCTTTTTGAAGAATGTAATAACTATCGCCATAACAATGACGGAATACCTAACCACTGTCACTGGTCATGTGATGTGTCCTGTCTGTTTCAGGGATTTGAATGGTTAAACGTGGCCATTAACATGGTCAGAACCTTTTGGATTTGAAGATTGAAGGTTTCGCGTTCTTTGAGGGACATGTTAAGCACTCCCTCCTCAGTTGTCCATTAATTCGTATTTCCTATGTATATATGTTGATGTTGTTTTTTTCATTAAACAGTGATTAATTGAACTGCCTCTTTGTCTCTTGATATATCTCAACTCCAATATGGTGCCAAACCGAGGGTAGAAGCTGAGTAAACGCTGTCTGTTATTTCTGTGCTCGTGCTAGTTGAACAAGTTTGAGAGTTCTTTCTTTGCAAAATACTACTTTAATTTGACCCCCTAAAAAAATTAATTTGGCTGGTTTTAAAAAACCCAAAAAAAACGCCAAAACCTTTGACTTTGTTCAACAAGGAAGAGCACAGGAATGTAAAAAAAAGATGAAGGAGAAAGGTCATGCTTGAAAGTATCAGTTGCCTTGTGTCTGTCACCCAGAACACGTGATGTCACGTGATGAAGAGATCATGACCTCACCTTTGACCCTACGCCACCCTTTTACTTTGTTAATTGCTGGTCAATCAGGGCCTGGAAAAAGTTCCTTTGAGAAATCATGTATGGAGCACATGCATCGCCCTGAGAAGTTTGATACACCCACACAATCCGATGTCAACTGACCATCAAATGAACTACAGAGAGTTGTTGTCTTTGAGTAGTAGTATCAAAGTTGTTGTACGCCAATCTCATTAATATCAGATCTTAGTTCTCGCTACCGCTAAACAAAGATCTGAGGACATCCCATTACGGGTCACGTAAGAACGACCTTTCGCGAATTTTAACCGACCAATGAAATGACTGACAAGAAATCGACATTAGCCAATCAGAAGGCAACTTTCTCGGGCTTTACGACACTAATTTCACACTGGCGACTACGCTTCGAAACATATTTTGACGTATTCTTGATTTAAAAAAATAAAACTGATAAGAAGAACATTCTGGAATGGCTTATAGAGGGCCTAGATTGTATGGATATAATCATAAAACCCGTAACTGTCGTTCGGAATACCCCGTGTTAAATATTTCGTGGTTGCATGATTAGAAAACACATTCCGACTGTCACTTTCAGGATCTGGTAAGCGACGCTCTGATTGGTTGGCTGAAAGGTCGTTCTGACGTGACCCTTAATGGGATGTCCTCAGATCTTTGTTTAGCGATAGCGAGAACTAAGATCTGATTTTAATGAGATTGGTTGTACGCCAATGGCCATGGAGTCCACTTCGTGTCCAGAGTGTGAGAAACAGATTTCTAGGAAAGATGCTATGCTGAGACATAGAAGGAATAAGCATTCACCACTACCATCACCACCATCACCACAGTTTCCACCACCATAAACACTGCCTCCTATCCTGAATATATACTCACATGCAAAAGAAACGCAAGTGGTTTTAAGCAAATAGGTAACAAACACGGAACCATAAATTGATACGAGTTTTAGCATGTAGTGAAGCCTGATGGCGTAATCAATATTTTTGGTTACGTTTTGGAAGCCCCGAGTAAAAACGCAACATAAAAGACGAATCGCCAAAAGGCACCATTTCAATGAAATTGTGGGTATCATGCACCCATTTCTCGCGAAATCGAAAATGCACGAACTGTCACGAACTGTAGTGGGTTTAAAACTGTGGCCAATTCTCAGACCTACCACTCCTTGGTCAACAATGCCACGCCTAACTCAAATTCAGAAAAAAACAGGTTATCGGACGTTTGGAAGCTGGAGAGTCTGTCCAATATGTCCAACGTTAGCATAACCACAATTTACCGTCTCCTGCATCGATACAATGCTACACAGACCACAGATGACCTTCCACGGAGCGGTCGTCCTAGGGTCACCACACCTCGACAAGATCGACAGATTACCCGTCAACACCAGCGACATCCGTTCCTAACTGGAAGTGAAAGTGCTCGACAGACGATAGGAACACATAATCGACACATTAGCCGGGACACTGTGATCCGACGTCTCCGTTCCAACAACCTCAGATGTCGCCGACCAGCACGTCGTCCTGTTCTCCAACCACGGCATCGACAAGCACGACTTCAGTTGGCACAGGGTCATCGTAATTGGTGTCATCGTGAGTGGAGGCGTGTCATCTTCTCTGATGAAAGTCGCTTTTGTGTCTCCCACGCAGACGGAAGAGTCAGAATTTGGCGGCGTCGAGGTGATCGTTTCGCTGACAGAAACGTTGTGGAAAGGGATCCATAGGGTGGACCTAGCGTCGTTATATGGGCAGGGATTGGACTTAATGCGAGACTTGGACCCATGTGCTTTCTGAATGTTGGTCACGGTCGGGGACACGGCGTCACTGCTCAGCAGTATATCGACCAAGTGATCAGACACATTTTCCAGCAAGGACAACGCTCGTCCCCATGTTGCCAGAGCTACCATGGCCTTTCTGCAACAACACAACATCCGTGTTCTACCGTGGCCAGCCCACAGCCCTGATCTGAACCCTATCGAACACTTGTGGGATGAGGTTCAAAGGCGTCTGCACAATGTGCGCCCAGTCCCTACAACTGCCGATGAACTACGCACAGCTGCTCTGGATGTGTGCAGGAGGATCCCTAGGGCCTTCACAAATCGTCTGATCCACTCAATGTACAGGAGATGTGTGGCAGTGATCAAATGCTAATGGTGGTCACACCAGGTATCGGCTGACATTTTGGGTATTGACCCGAAACTGGATGTGTAAGCCCTTAACATTTGAAAAAAACCCATTTATGTCATCTGCCTTTTAATCCATTAAACTGTCTTCAGTCAAAGTTTTGTCAGTCTTGCCCTATGAGTATTTCTTGTCCTTAATTTTGAAAATAAATAACACGTATACTGCATACTCGACTTGCGTTTCTTTTGCGTGTGAGTATACTTGTCAACCATACTCTGTATATCACTTGCTTGATAACGGTGTTAGAACCTACCCCGAAACGTCGCCCCTAATTGTAATAAAGAAATTGTTCATCCATATATTTTATCCTTACTCATATCGATATACAGATGTACATTTTCTTTTTCGGGGTCTTAGTAGTGTATTTGACATGTTGTGATTTTGTGAATCTACTCTTAGTTTGTTGATTATAGTTGCTTTCAACTTTGAAAACATATTCCCAAGAATGAAAAAAACAGTAAAACTGTCAAGAAATTTCCGTTTTGCTATCAGATTTCTATCAGGGTTCTTTTAACCAGACATCACACACATGTAAAGTCTCTGGTTCCATGCTTGTTGAGAAAGGTGTAAGTTCTATGACGCTGATTCTCAGTGCCTCATTCGTCTCACTGGAATAAATCGTCTTGTTGCCTTGATTAACCTTCAACACAATGCATTCATCATAAGATGTCTCCAGCAATCACTGGATGGCGTGTTCGACGGTTATAGAAACATACCGGAACCGGAAGTTCGTGATCAAAGGAACGGTAACCCGGATGTGGTCTGCCCTGCGTTTGGACAATAATTATGCCCAGACATTGACGTGTATATCTGTTGAGGGGAGATCATTAGGTTCCCAAGTTGCCGCGCAAACAAACTATATCCGTGTTTATGTAATACAAGCTATTTAGGATGAGACAAACGGTCAAGGACGATCACATACGGGTACAACTGTGTATTTAGGCAGCGGTTAGCAATATTATAGCAGCATCACAACTTATTCAGCTGTAACACAACATCACAGCATATTTAACTACAACACATCATGGGATATAACGGTGTAGTCAGCAATATGACTGTACCCACTTGGTGTAATCAATTATTTTACAGCAACGCCATGGTGTAGTCATTTATATGGATATTGTTACAGTGTTGGAAGTTCGTTTCTTATTTATGTTCAATGTAATTTTTTATGTCTCATTCATGACATCTACAACCAGACGTTTCTCAAGCCCTAGAGGGGGGCACGGGTGGCCCAGTCGTCTAAGGCGCCGCGATTCGCTGTGCAGAGTCGCGTCTCTTAGGCACGCCTGAAACCTATGATTGTGGGTTCGAATCCCGGTTCGCCCCGATTATGTTTCTAGGTTTGTCAGCACCATATCCGTGCTCGGGGTTTTACCGAAGTGGTAAACGTCTGAGACCTGCATCACTTCGGCCTTTCCTCCCACATTAAGCTGACACGCCGCGATTAAACTGGAATACTGTTAAAAGCGGCGTAAAACCCCACTCACTCACTCATACAAGCCCTAGAGAATCACCGCACTGAAATAATTCGCCACGCGTTAAACTTGGCTCAGCACATTTTTCTTGAAACCTATGCTTGAAGACTGAATGGTTCGGAAAGTCAGGATCGATATTGGCAAGTTTGAGAGGCATAAAATATGCGCTTTGTTTACCTGCCAAATCAAAACTTTTTATGTATGGCAAGACAAAGAATTTCACCCGAGTGCATTTCGATATAAAAATATAAACACAAGTCAATAGAAGTTTAAACCACCGAGGCCTGTCGACACTTGCTGTCGAAACAAATTGCTATGGCTGAATAATTACGATTATCCTAACGACACAGAGACATATGTCCTAGTTTCACGCTGGCACAGCCCACAACCATGCATAGAGCATAACTTCCCCCCACCCCTCTTTAAGCACATAGGTAACTCACGGAACACAGGTGTAGTTGAATTCAGTGTCCATTGCATGATGGACCAAGTGTCACATTGTTTATGAGTTACAATCCCCAACATTTTAAACTCTCCAACCATGAGAAACTATGTATTTTACTGTTCAAACATGGGATGTATTTTACTGCCCAACCCTGCATTTAAATATTACAACGCAGATAACATGTATTGTATGGTTAAATACCTTTTACTGTATATTCTATTTAAGGCTGTAGTCTTTTATCGTCCCCCAAAAATATACGAGTGGTGTTGCACTTTTGTATGTATATACTTCTATTTTACGTATGCTTCTCATGATATACAGTACACGTGGTAAGAGGTAAATAACATGTATGTCTGTCTATTAAATATATTTATACGTACCGACTGCTTCCATTCTCTGAGTCTGGAATTAACGCGCCTCAAAAACTCGTGCAACGGAAGTGAGCCTCGATTTGGTTTAACTATGACATCACCATCACGTGATAATTCTGGCGAACACCTGCATGAAATATACAACGCTTCAAACCTGATTTGATATTTGTTTATGT